AAGAATTAGCAATAAAGTATCTACAGCACCTGGCTGTAGAGAGTAATTGGCAAATGGGACCCAAGTGCATCTTAAATTCTCCAAAAACCAGAAGATAGATAAAAAGCACCTGCAAACAACTGTTGCTGGGTGAGCTTGCAGGAAAGATGCTTGCAAGAAATGTTTGTCTGGTGGCTCCTGTGGACAGGAGCTGCTGAGTGCTGATCCCAAGTTCTCCAAAATGCCATGGTGTTTTATAGATAGCCCCTTTTGGGAAGCTGGTGGGGGTGTTTATGTGCAAAGTGGGGCAAGATGTTATCATCCCCAAAAGCTATGGACTGTGAAACCTGGACCTCCGACTCCCCTCCAACTCCCCAGGACCATAATGAAAATGACCCCTGCTAGAAGGTTGTGGGGTGCTCTGCATTACCAAACATCTTGACTCCAAATACTTGTGTGGATTTTCCTGGCAATATACAGCACGGCCCTATCCCTTCAGACATGGGCGCTGGTCAGGAGGTGCTGGGAGGTGCCAGAGCAACCCAGGCTCAAGGGGCACAGATGTACCTGTGATATTTGAGACCATGAGGCCTCTTCATAGGCTGTGTCTCGGTGCCATTTCCCCAATCCATCAGCCATGTCTGAGTGAGAGGGTGGCTGAATGAAGATGAGAGTGGGAGCAAATAGGCACTGCGTGTATGGCTCATGGAGAGGAACCAGTTTTTACCAATTTTCCGCTTTCTGTGATGAGGGCCTGTTTCAGCCAAAGCTGCCATGGTGTTCTCTCTTTGGTGGGCAGAGTGCATGAGAAATACAATTTACTGCCACCATTGACTGCTGTTCCTTGCCATGGGGCTGTGTGGGGCAGGGGCCAGTGATGCCACCACCATGGACATGTGTGAGGGTGCAAACTGAAGAGGATGTATAGAGGAGCAGTGAACCACACTGGGTGAAACTGCAGCTGCCATTTGCTGTGAGCTGGCTGTACACAGCCCCCACCCCCTGAGAAATGGCAGTGTTAAAATATGTTGCTAGACAAAATACGGCAGAAAATAGATTTTTTACAAATGTCTTGACATTAAAATATTAAAAATATGCAGGATATAGGGCAGCAAGAGAGACACCCGGCACACAGCTGGACATAAAGGCAGCTGCAAACTACCCACAAATAAAGGAAGTGCTGAGGCTGACTGAGAGCCTGGTGAAGACTTCTCCTGCCATCCTTGTCCTGCTTCAGAAACATTTTAAGTTATTACCACAAACAGTTTAAAAAGATTCACACAAAGCTACTGTCAGAAATCACTTGAACGCAGAGAGGAAAAAACTGCTCGAGAGTTCTTTTGGGAAGGATTAGGTTTAAAATAATTGCCATTTATAAATTAATTTCATGTCCTTTTGGACCTTGGCCTACTAGCATTTGAAGGCTTGACTGGAGCTGGCAGACAGGATGGGCACCGATTCCAGGGCATGATTGCCAAAAAAAAGGAAAATATTAAGAGAAAAAATTGGCCATGAAAAAGAAAAGGCCAGAGAAATATAGGGAAATGAGATTTAGTTTAGGAAAAATATTGTTCTCTGAGCCATGGACTGATTTTATGGCTGGCATATTAGTCACAGTCTTGCATGAGCCTGGCCTTTGTAATAGATGTCTGAAGACAAACTGGTGGTGAACACAGTTCCCAATGCTTTAATAGTTTTTAAATCCACGATTCTGTTATTTTTAATCTTTTTATTTTTTTTTTAAATTCATATCAAAGTCTATTGGAAGCAGTGAAGAGACTCCTCTCAGCTTCAACAACTTTGAATCAAGCCATGTAAAAATAGATACCCTGTGCCTCAAGACTTCTGCTGCAGTCTTGCCAACTGAGTCCAGCAGCAGGGTTAGACCATGACTCCTCCATTTCTTACACCCAGCATTTTAGGACCATGACTTATGAGGGCCCAGCCAAAGCCCCTGTGACACCTCTCAGTCCTTTTGCCTGATGCTGGAGCAGACCTGAGAGATCTGGGCTTGCTCCTGCTGTTCTCTAAGGTGCTGAGCCGTGCATCCCCTCTGTACTCCACTGAGCTGGTTTGATAGCAGAGATATGCTCTGCTGCCAGGAGATGTTTTGCACAGAGCTGTACAGCTCATTTCCAGATAGAAGAGGTGTGTGCTGAAAATAAAAATGTCGAGGTCACAGCAGAGATGGGTGAGCCGTGTTGCCAGGGCTGCTCCTCCCTTCAGTGCAAGTCAAGATGTTGCTAAACCACAGAGCGCTGAATAAGAGGCCAGTCTAAATCATGGAGCAGCTGCTAAGTCCTCTCCGTAAACTCATGCTGCAGGAGGATGGGCAAACCAGGTCAGATCTTTACCTTAGCGCCTTTTGAGCATTTTGCAGTGTGCATTTTTGGTCACAACTTCATGAAGAAGCTGAACAGCACCAAGTGGACACTGGCAGCTCACAGCCTGGTTTGGGCAGCACCTCACCACTGGCCCTAGCGAGAGCCTTGGTGAAGCAGGAGCTCCTCCAGTCCCGCATGAGGTAGATGGCATCCAGCACTGTGGGGGGCACTCGCTGGAGGGGAAGGGGTTCACAGATAACACCCAGCTAGCAGGTAAAATCACAGACCAAGAAATCGGAGATGCCGACAGATTCAAGAAAAACTGTTGAAAACAGATTGTTAGTCAGCTTTATGGATCTCAGTGAAGGACATGTTTTTCTTACTGGAAGAGAGCCATGATGTAGAAATAGACAGAAAACAAGAGGGCTGCCGCCATAGCTTAGGCTGTATTTTTAAACATTTTTGCTGTCGGACCATCTGAGCCTGGAGCTAAATTTACCTACAAATTATTTTCAATGTTTCTGCTTCTTGAAAGGTGAAAGGTGCACTTGATACTTTACTCCAGGAGGAAAGACAGAATAAATGTCCTGGGTCAGATTTTCCCAGTGTCAGACCTGTGTGTGGTTTTGGATGCCTAATCTGCCTGCAACACCTGACCTTAAGCCCAGGCCCAGTGCTTTGCACACACAGAGCCCCTCCACAACGAACACAAAATCTTGACTCATGTTCCAGCTCCTGGTAACTCTGCACAACAATTAGCAATGCAAATACACTCCCATATTTTTCTGCTTTTATGCTGTTACTGATTTCTTTTTTTGAACCATGGCTAAAGGAAGACTGTTTCCATGATGAAAATTGTTATGGGTGATCCAGAAAGTCTACTTTCTGACTCAGCTCAGTCAGATTTGCTTAGTGACTCCTGTGCACCTGGATCCTAGGAGAAAACCTCAAGCCCAGGTGAGGTCTGGCAGTCCCCTAGACTTCAGGGAAAGTTTGATATGGGCCTCTCGTGCCTCATGGGGAGCACATGAGACAGGCACTGACAGATCTTGGATGAGAATCATAGACTCAGAGAATGTACTGGGTTGGAGGAGACCTTTGAAGATAATCTGGTCCAACCACCCTGCAGTGTGCAGGGACTATGTTACCAGATCAGGTTGCTCAGAGCCCCATCAAGCCTGACCTTGAATATCTCCAGGGATGGGGCCTCCACCACCTCTCTAGGCAACCTGTTGTAGTGATCTACCACGCTCATAGTGAAGAACTTTTTCCTAATATCCTACCTAAATCTACCCTTTTCTCGTTTAAAACCATTACCCCTTGTCCTATTGCTACATGCTCTAGTGAACAGCACTTCCCCAGATTTCTTATAGGCACCTTTCAGGTATTGGAAGATCGCTATAAGGTGTCCCTAGAGCCTTCTCTTCTCCAGGCTGAACAACCCCAACTCTCTCAGCCTAACTTTGTAGGAGAGGTGCTCCAGCCCTTTGATCATCTTTGTGGCCCTCCTCTGGACCTGCTCCAGCACTTCCACACAGAAAGATGTGTTTTTCAACTCTGCAACTTTTGCAACCTTCCCCCACAAAATGAGGCCCCTGCATGTAGCCCTGGGTTGTCCACTGTTGTGGAAAAAGAGTCCACCACTCCAAGTTTTAGGTGGCTGAGTCACCTGGCTCACTGATTCCTCTGTTGACAGGAAAAAGGATGAGGATGACTGTACTTCTTGCTGGTCAGGACTTAGACCTCCCCAGCTTTTGGGGGGAGATGCCCTAGCACCTACACTGGAGCACTGAGTGTTCAGCAATCCTCATCAGGCTAAAGGTAAACTAATCTCTCATCCTCTGCCTGTGTGGTTACTCCTCTTAAGATAATTTTCCCATTTAAATGCTTTTGTACAAATGGTTCCTTCAGTTTTCTTTAGAGAGAAAAGTGTGAAAGTATCTACTGATCAATCACATTCCAGAGTTGTTTGTTGTTTTTTTTTCCCTGATCTTAAAACAAGAACCTTTATTAGTCTCCAATTACCGCCCGTGAAGTTGGGAAAGACTAAAAGTAATTATGTTTGGAGATTAGAGAAATGAAATCTCAAGAGACATGGGGCCTTTCAGCTTTCTAATGTTGTTGATTGCATCTTTCTGTTCTGTATGCCATAAAAGTAACAAAATTTAAATATTTTATAGAAGTGATCTGTGATGGGTGATGGTACGGAACTGATCCAGTGGTTCAGTTTATCTATAATTTAAAAATCCCCACAAGGAAAGTCTTAAATGCTTCCATCTACCCCACATTATATATATATCATCTTGATCAGAAAGACTCTCTGTAATAAAGCTCCTCTATCTAGCTAGTTGTGAGTGTGCTGTCTTCAGAGGGCTTCTTCTTAATGGATGGCATAGAAAACTCTTTCAAGGCCAAACTACATGAATAAGATTTATTAATCCTGTAGCCCCATCACTCATGATAATGCTAATAATCCATAAGCCTTACATCATGCCTGCTATACCATGTAACAAATGCATCTCTGGGAGATGAACAATAAATCCCATGTGCACTCTTCTCCCTTCTCCTCCGCCTTGATGAGGAAGTCCCAGGTTTGGTGCAGCTCTCTCCAGCTACCCTGGTTCCTTCTTGCTTCCTGCACTGGCAGGGGGCTGACATTGCCCCAGTTCTTTCAGGGGGACCCCTTCTCTGAAGCCGTCAGTATTTGTCACTGTATTTGCAGTCAGGGTAGCGGTAGGCAAAACGGGAATCGCAAGACCGCAGAGGCTTCAGGAGCTCCACTAGCTTTGCAATCGCCTTGCTGACGCCCTGGTCATTGTGGAGGCCATCGGCGCAGCGCTGCAGGAAGCTGTCGATTTTCTCCTGCATGGGTTGCGGGAATTTCCCCTTCAGGAGCTTAGGCAAAAGCTCTTGACACACCATGACAAGGCTGTGCTCCTCTGTGATGGAGTCGCAGGACACAAATGCAGACTGGCAGTCCACAGTCAAACAGCTAAATATATCTTTATACTCCTGCTGGCCGTCACTCAGCTGGCTTCCTATTAGAGGCAATTAAATCAGTTGTTAGAAGCATGGTAATGAAACCTTGGATAATCACATATGTCTGTACCTCTGTATGAACATGGGGTTTGGTACTATCTAAAGGATACAGCTATTTTTCACCACAAAGTACTCCTGTGCTGTAGCTGTATATGGGCCAATTTTCTCACTTCTGAAATATGTAAGTTTTTTCTGAATGGCAGAGCTCTGCAGAACCGCCTGACAGAGGAAGTGGAGAGGAGTCTGTCAAGTCAAATTAATGCAGAAAAAATAAGAACTAGAATGCTAACCTAACTTGTGGCGCTCCTACAAAAACTACCACAAATAGTCAAACCCATAAATTTCCCATGTTACCCAAAAATCATCAAATTGCAACAGCAGCTCATCTAGCTGGACTCCAGTCAACAGTAATAGCTGCTGGGACAAGAGAAAGAAACCTTGGAAAATTCTCTGACAGTTGCTTATGAATATTTGAGATCTACTCAGCTGAACGTGTGATTTGAGCAAAGACCTTTAGAAAATTTGAACATTCAAAATGAAATTGTTAAATTATTGGAGGAATAGTCTTTGACTAGTTTACTTCCAGGAGGAGACCAATGTAACCTGTGAAAAGTGAACAGTAACTCTTCATTTTATGTAAAAATGACAAAATGGGGGTTTTGTTTTTATAATAATAATGATTATTAGTTAATGTGATAAAGGCACCTAAAAAGAGCCTGATTTGACCCAAAGCTTAAAGCAAATGAAGTTATGAAATTTCAACCTGCAAATATTGACATTTGTGTGGCAAATGTTTTGAAAGAGGTGATTTAGGAAGACTTCAAATAAGAGTGTTTAGCATTGTGCACGTCAAATGGTGGTGTCAGGCACAGAGGCCAGGCAGGACATAAGTGTCCATAGTCGGTCACCAAACCACTGACTGCATGAACAAAATACCTGTCACCTTCCTGACTCAGAGCCAGGGTGGCAGGAGCTGCTGATGCTTTTGCTGTTGGTAAATCTCTCTGTGAACATTTCATTCTTTAATTTGTCCAGCAATGTTTAGTTGATTTAAAAAAAAAAACCTAAAAATTCAGCAGCAGAGCTGAGCGTAGCAGGGGAAAGATTTGTTCCCCCTGCCTCGCTGAGCCCTCCCGTGACAGACGCGCAGCCACAAAGCCTGCTGAGTACCTTCCTCCTTGTCGATGATCCCCAGCGTGCTGGCATCCCGGATGAACAGATGCCCGTTGTTGAACACACCGAAGGTGCCAGCGTCCAGGTGGGTGAAGTAGAAGAAGTAGTTGAGGTCGTTGGTGGCCATGGAGCGGAGGACGGCGAAGAGCTGGAGGGCCAGGTCGGCCGCCACCTCGGGGGCCGCGCCGTAGAAGTCGCGCAGGGGCCGGGTGCTGGCGCTGACCACCAGCCGCCCGCAGGAGCCCAAGTACCGCGGGAAGGGCCACCCCTCCACATCGGGGAAGATCTGCCGGGGAGAGTGGGAACGGGGGGATTGCTTCTGCCCCCTGGCCTCTATGCTCTGCCCATGAACCCACTGCCCTTCTGGAAGAATTTCAAGTGCCCTGGCCAGCTTCAAGCAGCAATGCTGATGTCGTGTTTTGCTTTCTAAAGCAGCTCAGCACACTTCCTCACCCCAACCTGCTCCAGCAGCTGAGGAAGATGCTGCGCCATCATGGAGTAGCTATGCTGCTCTTTTTTTACCTTTTTTTTTTTGGTACTTTTTTAATTAAGGAAGAAATATCTGATATTTCAAGACCTATTCCAGGAGGGAGACTAACCAGAAAGTCCAAGATAATAATAGATTTCAAATTCATGAAAATTTTAGGCACAGAAGAGCTAATTTTAGGTGTCTTTATGGAGCCTATGATGTGTCCCTCATGAGCACTGCATAGCTGAAGTCACAGCTTGAAGGTGAGGTGGGGCTAAAGCTGTTTTCACTCATTTGCAAGAACTCCCTGGCCATTTTGTAAGAGACTTTGCAGTCTCACAGACTGAAGTGCTAGGTGTTTGCTACAGTGGGGACACCTGGGCTGTGCTCCCTGCATCACTGCAACTCATGCTAGCAGGGCAGTTATCCCAGGTAGAAACCTAACGGCACGACTGCTGAGCTGTGCCAACACAAAGCTTTCTCCTATTTACATTATAACTTGTCTGTCTCCTCAGCACCCCTAGGCCCTGCTGAGGTGGGGCTATGAACTCATCCAGTGTCATGTTTAAGGTACTTATGCTTTCTGCTGTGGAGGCATTTCAGGCACCCACGTAATCCAAGCCATTTCTCTTTGGCATATTTTTCTCACCTCTGCAAGCTGCATTCCCGTATCTTTACAGAGACACAGTCTTGTGCCTCAGTGAACTGTGGCCAGGGTGGCTGAATGGCCCTCAGGAGGATCCCAGAGCACAAGCATCATTCCACGCCTCCCTGTGACTGAGCAGACCCCTCTGTGCTGCTGAGGGCAGTGGTGGCCTGGGGCAGGAGATAGATACTGCCTCTCTTCTTCAAGGTATCTCAAAGGATTGCAGGAAACAACAACGAGGACTAAGGGTTGGGTGATGGCAGTGGGGAAAGGTGAGGATACTCCCTTGGAGACAAGCGTAAGGAAAGAGAGGAGCCCCATGCCAGGCATGCCAGCAAGGGACCAGGGGAGGGGTGCGAGGCCTCCTAGCTCTTTTCCTTCAAACTCAGCTCAGCTGTACCTGGAATTCAAATTCAAAGCTGCACTTTGCCACAGAGCTAGTTACCAGAGGCATGCAAATGGAAAAAAGAGCGCTGGCACGTGGAGTTTGGGAAATCAGCGCTCTTCAAGTCCATGTTCAACCTCAATGCTGCATCTTGGTCCTCCCATACTAAAGCATGCTCTTTCTGTTATAAACAGGCTGTGATTTTAAGTAATATATTAGCAATGCAAACATAACACTGCGAAGTATTGGGGATGTGTAAATCCCTGGCTTTCATAGTGTGCTAGTGCAATAACGCATCTGGGTTCTGATTTATTTAAGGGGCTGGGCATCCATATCTCTGCACAACTTCACAGGCTGATGCCAGGAACATCACTGGTTTTAGCCATGCAACCCCATAGAAGAAACTCACTTTACCAAGCCTAGGGAACTTGTCAAAGGCCAGGACTTGCACTCCTCTACATCTAGGGCTGTATCTCATGCGAAGGTTCGCTTGCACGGGGCTGCAGGAGTGGCATTTCAAGCAGGGCAAGGTGGTACATACCTGTAACAAGATAGGGTGTGAGTTCACTGACAGAGTGTATAACAGGCGCAGTTTGTCCCGGTCGGTGAGGTGGTCCATGTAGATGCTGCCAGCGTCTGGCACCTCAGCATAGCGCCGCACTATCCTGTCCAGGAGACGCTGGGATGGGCAGCGCAGCATTGGGCTAGAAAGGCCCTGGCAAGAGGGGAAAACATGATAATGGTGATTATTTTCCATCCTGAGATGCTGCAATGTGCTTGGCCCACTTGTGCCAGGGGTATGGGCACCTCTCTGGTCTGCCCACCACACCTCTGCCCACTGCAGCGCTGCTGCTGCTAGGTACCAGCCCATGGGGGGATCTCTGCAGCAAACCTCTCCTCGGAAAAAAAACCCCACTGCATCCAAAAACTCAGGTTTCCAAAATGGCACCCAGCCTTTGCAGCACAGCCATGAATGCTGCAAATCTCATTTCCCTTCATCTGTGTGGCACCGCATTGCTCCGTGCTGGTGGGCCTCCTCCCTCCAGCCAGGTTTCCAGCCCTGGCAGCCTGGCTCACTGGTGGAGGCCTCCCCGTCTTCAAGCCAATGAGTCACTTCCCTTGTTAAATAATGTCTTAGGATCGCTTTGCTATTTGCTTAGCGCTTTCTTGGAAATACTATCTGCTATGGTCAGTAAACATGCTTTAAAAGTGTAAATAAACACTGTATGTGGATACAAGCACAGGACATATTCTCTCTGATAAACTTGCACATTAACTATCAAAACCAAATTTGAATAGCCTGTGCATGTGTTTTGTAAATACCCGCAACAAATACAGAACTGTCATGCTAATGGAGTCAACTATCACTGTATTTCACCTTTCAGATTTGGAGGTTTGGCTTGTAATTGGAACAAGCAACCTATGGCTGAGATAAATGGTGTAGAAATTTATACCTTTGTAGTAAAAAATGGTCTTTGTTTTAAAGTCAGTTTTTCTCAATAGCCAAGGAGAGTGGATGTATGTCCATAGTGGCACCAAAATGCTGCCCTGCCATGCCTCTGCTGGGAACAGGAACCAGGCACTTGAGCTCACATTGCTCCCTGCCATTCTTCATGCTGAGAGCAAAGATTTGACTCAGGATCTCCCCAAGTCATTTGGTAACTCTGAGGTAGGTCTCTCTCAGCCCTTCCTGCACGAGCTGTTCATTTGGCATAAAACACTTAATTACCTAGCCACGACAAAGAAATGAAGAAACAAGGAAAGTAGGACTGTGTTGCTCTCCCAGTCGGCGGTGGAAAAAGGGACCGGACCTCCCATGTCCCCTCCTCTCTCTCCCTGTTATCCTCAGTGAAGTTCCAACCGCTCCCTCTGTGGCCATTGGTTGGACAAAACAAGCCCCAAATGCCTACATCTGGTCAAAACTACCTGAGAAACTCAACCCCAACTGGAGCATTGCTTCACAACAACCAAAGAACCATTTTTTTTCCCCAAAAGAAGAAAACATTTGTCAAAAATCATTCTCCTCAGTTCTAGTTCCAAGTCTTCATACACTCCTCTCCTCTGGTGTAGCCTTATCAAGGAAATACTTTTTCAACTAATTATCTAAAACCATAGAAGGAAGGAGGGGAAGGGATGGTTATGGATTTGTGTCTTGCAGCACGTGCAGGCAAGTTGTGGCCGACTCTGTCACTTTCTCTCTGGAGAAGAAGTGAGAAAAAACAAGCAGAACAGAACTGTGTTAAGCAAAAGATAAATGGTGGAGAAAGTATCTTGCAGCTCGGCATGTATGCGAATATTTGCAGTCAAAGTTAGAAAGCCTTGCTGCCTTCAGAAGCTAGTGCAAAAGTTGAGACCCTTAAGAATAGACAGTAGGAACAGAAATCATGGTGACAGAGAATGCACAGAAGTTGTAAATAGGATTTTTTCCTAGGTCAGAGCTCATTCTGTGAACACAGACATGAACATGCACTGCACATGGTGGTCACGGCTGCTCTTTTCCCAAGAGCCATTTGAGGAGTACCAGCGGCAGTGTGGGAGCAGAGGAGCAGGCCTGGGTGCTGTCATGCTTACATCAACCATCAGCACAGCTGCCTATGACTTAGTGAAGGCCAATTCCACCAAAAGTGGACAGTGGGGCCTTTAGACTTTTGGCAGAGAGATTCAAATGCATAAAGACTGTCACCTGCTTGAGCGTTTTAGGGGAGCAGGGCCTCCCCTTCCTGCAGACTGATGGAAACATCCCTGCAGCAGAAAAAGAGATGGAGTTGTAAATCTGTCAGTTGAAGCACACACACTTGAAACACTGGAGATACTGATGTCGCTGAGAATATCTTAAGTCCCTTACAGTGTCTTATCACCCCAGAGAATAAGGCCTGACAGACAGTCTGATGTATTGTTTGTGATTGATATGGAAAGCTTCTTATTTCCTTTGACTAAATACCCACATTTTTATCTGTGATAATTATTTCCTGCAAAGCTTACCTGCAGTTAACTGGGATTTTTTTTCCCTACTGTACAGTATGCAAAGTATTTTAAACTCCCATGGATGTATATGCATGCATACGTGGTGTGGATGCACCCAGAATTCAACTTCTGCTCACTCTGCTTTCTCTTCAGCTGGCCTGAGGAGGGATGGCACAGGTCAATAATTTCAGATGGCACATCCTAGAGAGAGGGGCTGAAAATGGCTGGCTCTTCTGCTTGGTACTGCTTTCCTCTGTCTGCTTTCAGCATTTTCCAGGCTGTGCTTTGTAGGCAGGGCTGTAAATTTGCCCTGCAGGTGATCTGTGCTGAAACTAACCCGCTTTTTCTTGTTGTTGTTCTCCTCAAATAGGAAAAGTACGTGGTGTGGTTTGAGGGGATGAGCTTCTGGGCGAAGCAGCGAGGGGCTGGCGCTACCACACAGGCTGAGCCCTGGCTAAATCCCGCTCATCTTCCAGGCAGGCTGAATTGTAACACTGAAGATTTTGCTGCATCCAATAAGGGTTTTCATTGTGGCGGGTGAAATAATCACTGTGGCAGGCAGCTCGGCTGATAGTTGGGTTAGGCAGGGCAGACAGCGTAAAGTGAAAAAAACATTACTTCCTGGTCGGTCATTTCGATTCAAGCATGTTATGGTTTGTCATAATTCTCTGCTCTATAAGACAAAATTACCTGCACTCCTATATAGGCAAAACTGTGAGGAGGGAAGTACAGACATCTCTGGGTGACTGAGGGTTTGTGAAACAGGGTGGACATCACGTTGAGCATCAACAGTGGTGTGCTGTTAACACCTCTGAAAAGAAAGACCAGGGGGAAATGAAGGCCAGAAGAGCACTGCTGCATGTAAATATTTGCAGCGATGTATGGTACCCCCAAGAAATGCACACTTGGATGGCTGGTGCTGGAATACCAACATGTGACTGCCCAGCAAACATCACAGAGGAGCAGCAGTGCTGGGCTGGGGTGCAGGCAGAAGCACTCCTGTGGCTTTTCGTTCTAAGGAGGGCAGGTGGGGTGGGCAGAGAGAAAGGGGTTCTGCAGTGCTGGATGACTTGTAACCCTGTAACCTGTAGGGGCCCACACAACAGGGCTGTTGGAGGAGTCTCATGTACAAACTCTCACACACTGTATGACTGAAATGTTGTTGCTGCAGGCTGTTTTTCAGTTCAGACCATTGTGAGACCAGCAGTCATTTTGCATAGCATGTGCCCAATCTTAAATAATGATTGCTGCTGAAATCTGGAGGGAGGGGTAGAACCCAGGGTCTTTGGATCGCCATGCTCCTCTGTGTATTCAAGCCTATATGCTGTTAGAAGGGATTTATACCCCATTTTAGGTTTCCCTGCTTCATTTATAGAACCAAAAAACCATTAAAACCTGAGCAGCACAATCCCGAGGCTGGTGTGCAAAGGTCTGGCCCTCCCCGCAGCCTCCTGTGCCCTCTCCAACTAAAAAACTGCAGGAGTTGCTGAAATATCCTGAGGAGTTTGTCCCTGGGGACATCCACGCAGGCTGCATGGTGCTGTGCATGAGTGTGTACATGAATGTGTGTGTGTGCACGCGTGTGTGTGTGCAACCCAGCCAGCTCAGCTGGGGATTCAGTTTCAGAGAGGACAGTATAGGGAAAGCTGTATAGCACACCAAGAGGCTTTGAAGGAGACAGATTTGGGCTCAGCTACTGCCTTAACTTTGCAGCAGATCCGAGATACCACAGAGCTACATTTTTCCAGTTAGTTTTTCACTGAGCTCAGCAAAAGGAAGTTTTAAGCTCTCGACTTCTTCTGTTTCACATAGCACTGCACAGTTTTGCACAAACCCCTTGAACACTGTGGCAATGCCAGAGGGCCTGGCACCTCGCCTTGGCCTCCCTCAGCCCCCTGCAATGCTGCCATGGGGGACAGCAGTGGCCAGTGAGCACCTGGGAAGATGTTACCTGCCACCCTTAGAGGAGGTGTTCCTACCTGCAAACCACAAGCTCAGGTGAGAGATGCTCTCAGTGGAAGCAATGCATATCTGTCCTCACTCCTTAGCTCCTCTCCTGAGGGTACTAGACCAAGTACAGTGTAGTTTTGCTCCAAAATTTTTTCCCTGCCCAGTACATGTCATCCTGCACCTCACCCCCTGGGAGGGAAGGTGCTGGCTTCAGAGTGATCTGTCATGTGGGGCTGTCAGTGACTCGAGTGAGTCCCTCTCGGAGCAGCTAAGGCACTGGTCCCAGCTCTGCTCCTGCTGCTGCTCCTGCAGCATGGGGTCTCCCTCCTCAGACGTGCAGCTCCATGGGGCAACAGAAGGAGAAAAAACAAAGCAGCATATGTTTAGCACTCAGCAAAGCTGAGCGGATGTGGCAGCATGCAGGCAGGAGAATCACAGAATCACAGAATCACAG